CATAATATGTGTAGTCATCTTTTCACAACAGGAAATTTAAAACATGTTTAAAATGGTAAATTTGTATAGGAAAATATTGATTTTGCAATTACGCTCCACCGATCGGTCTGACAACGAATGAAATATTCATCACGATTGAGATCGAGAAGGATGAGTGGGGCTTTTCTTTTTTAATTAATACATTTAGTTTTCTTTGTATAACACGATTACTTAAAGACATATTTCACATGGTAATTTCTCGTAGAAAAATAATGACTTTATAATTAAGCTGTTCCGCTCGACTTACGATGAATAAAAAAATCATCAGAATTGAGATAGGGCGGGTGGGCGGGGCTTATATTTTGCCTTTTTTTCTTACTATACGTAGCCATCTTTTCACAAGAAACTTAAAACATGGTTAAAATGGTACAGTTTTGCAAGGAAATATGGATTTTGCAATTATGGGACCTAATTGCTAAATCGCTATTTCCTTATATAAATTTTCCATTTTAAACATGTTTTAAGCCTCATGTTGTGAAAAGAAGTCTACAGATATTAAAATAAAAAGGTTAAATGTAAGCCCGCCCACCCGCCCTATCTCAATTGTGATGATTTTTTTATATTCGTCGTGAACCAAGCAGGCGGAGCTTAACGGCAAAATACTTATTCTTTACAAGAAATTAAAAACATGTTTTTGAGTAACGTGTAGTTTAAAGAATTCTATGTATATTACGAAAATAGGCAAAATATAATTATACTGTGTTCTTTTTGCGAAAATTTGGACGTTTAAGAAAAAACTCAAAGCGAATTCGTACACCACAACATTTAAATCATTTTAAAATAGAATTCATTGAAATGACGTCATCAAATTGTTGGTGAGGATGATTAACCAAATTTTGGTGAGCGTTTAACCATCTACATGATATTCCTAATATACATACAAAATTTGGCAACGGTCGGTCCAGCAGTTTCGGATTACTAAACGTCTCTAATAAAAATTGATACAGACGCCAGACAAACAGACAGATGGATGGAAACGGGAGATCACTTCCTAGGGGTCATGAAACGTCGAGAAAATATGAAAGTAGCAATTCGTCCGATGGACTCAATAACTATACTTCCCTAGCTTACACTTGGAAGGAAAAAAAAATCTAGAATCATTTTATTACAATACATGAGACCCATTAAAGTATATTTTTCAAATAAATATCTATTTAATAATTTTACAGTGTTTGTATAAAAAATAATGTATGATATTCATGTTAAAAATGATTTTATTTTATTCGTGTGGTTGGTTCCCAAAATTTCCACAGCCACAAAATAAAATCGCACTTCTAACACTTATATCATAAATAACTATTAACTATTACATATTTTTCTTCAATGAAATTGAGATGACGTCATCTAATTTTGAAAGGGATAAGAGTACAAATTTTGGTTAACGTTTTATAACCCAGTTTATAACAAAATACAGTTAAAATTTCATACCGAGGTCAATTCCATTTTCAGTAGACGTACAAACCGCACATAGATGGAAACAAAAAAACAGAAATTTTATATTCTGTACCCTCTGAAATCGGAACCTTGAATTTCGACATTCGTCAATTTCTCACTTATTTGAAAAAGTGAAAAGTGGAAGTCCGAAATTTAGAATAATTAATCCACAAACAGATATACACAACCAGCATTAATCACTCATTTATTTGAAAAGGTAGGAAACTGAAATTTGGAATGATAAATGATATAGGGTTTAAATAGAATTCTTTTGAATTTTTTCAGTGGTGTATTTTATACGAATTTGCCTGATAAAAAAATTTTAAATTGCAAGCTCTCAGTTTACTTATCCCACTATAATGATCTTTGAAAAAATAAAACTTCTTCAATCTACGCAAAAATTCTCTGAAATAAGTGTATACATAGACATTGGAATTTCCAGAAATAACACTTTTTTTTTTAGTATCGTGTTGTTCGGTACACTTCTTCTTAATATACATATGTTGGACATATATTAAGAAAAACAGGCACAATATAAACCCCGCCCACCCACCCCATCTCAAGCTTTTTTTTTAATTTTAGAAACTTAAAAGACACTTAAAATGGTAAATTTTTGTAGGTAAATATGGATTTTTTAATTAAGCCCCGCCTCTAGATCTGACAATGAATGAAAAATTCACCACAATTGAGAATCAAGATCAGGGCGGGTATGGGTGGGCCCTAATCTTTGGCTTTAGAAGAAACTTAAAACATGTCTAAAATAGTAAATAGTATTTTATATATAATTTACTAAAATAGTAAATTTTTATAATAACCAACTTAAATCCTCCACCTTTCGTCTACAATTTCTTTAAATACGACAAAAGTTGAACATCAAAGTTACTATCAACGGCAACTTGACAACGGAGTTTATAAATGACAATTTTCAGCTCTAAAAGCAACGTCAGTGGGAACTTCAACGTCAACAGCAAGTTTATAAATCCCACTTAAATCTTCCAACAACTTTCGAACGATGATTCACCCGGGCATATTGATTGAACTCTACGAACTCGTGTGCAACAAAATGCTGCATTAGTGATGAATGCACTTTTTAGTCGAATCTATAAATACACAAAACGTAACAAATTGGCATAATCAGAATTTTTTTTAGAAGCATGCACCCAATTTTCCCGAAAAGTGAAAGTATGGGTAGGTGTAAATATTAGAAAATTATAGTGTTGTTCCCATATTACTGTATCAAAATCTAACCAAAAATATAATCCTGGTAACGCAATATTAGAAAATACTAGTCCCTATATGTACTTTCGAAAGTATATCTAGGGTCTCTAGAAAATACCATTGTATCCGAAATAACAAAAAATGTTTAAGTCACTTTTATCAAAAAATTAGAAAAAATGATAAATTTTGTCACGTTTATTTAAAAAGGCTTATATAATATTTTATAAAAAATTACAACATAAACATTTCTAAACTTAATTCAATACACAAATTTATAGAAATTATGTTTGTCACATTTTTAAAAGTTTGTTCAGTCCATAAATCAAAATTGTGTAAAAACTCATTCTAACGTACATGTCAGTAAAATGAATGTTATTACATGATGATAACAGGTACAAACGAAAGTCTATCCAGTGATGTTAATATGTTCAAACAAGCACCTTGTTTACACAGAAAACATACAGACGAATTTATAGAGCTGTGATTTACACTTAGTCGTTTCAAAATTTAACTAAATATTTATAATTTCAGTCGTCTAATAATTTTTAAAAAAGTATTTCTGTATAAAAAATAGTAAATGTAGGGTTTTTAAACAGCCAAATTTCTGTGACCACTATTGAATGCTGATAATGAAAATAATGATGAAAATATTTTATGAAGTTCTTACAGAATGTTTTACTGGTTACAACAAAAGGCTCATAAATTTTCTAGGGCCTGCTATTGTTGACATGTTTTGTAATCAAGTCTACAGCACAAACACTGATGTATTTAGATACTGAACACAAACTTTATGAGTATTGCTTTTTCTTAATGAAACATAAAGGTTCAATATTACTCTTTGTAGTGTATTACAATGGTACTAAAATAAAAATTCCCAGTATACAATACATCCATAATAAGTTTTTTATATTCATGTTTGATCAATATAGTCAATATTCAATATTAGCCATAGTTATTTATTGCATGCCAACATCAAATCAATTTAATGTATAAGTAGATATAATCAGTGTAATGAAAAAATTATTCAAATCAGTATCCAAATAACATTAACTATGTAAACGCTTCAATGATCCTTACCGACTGTGTTGCCAAAATCTGCAATTCTGGTTCAGTTGATTCCAACAATTTCTGCACCATCTTGAGAAAGCTCTCAACAAAAAGATTTAAGGTGGGTGCATGGCAAGCCAACAGAAGCTGATCCATAGCTTCCATTGCGATAATAACGAATCCATACCGCCTTCTGTAAATATCTCTAGCCGCCCTCTGGTACATATACTCTCCGATCCTATCGAGTTTCTCTGGAGAACTGAGGGCATAAAATGTGAGCTTCTCCATGTTACTTTTAACGAGTCCATCCTGCGGGTAGACCGGGAATATATTGTCAACAAATCGCTTATACCTTGGCCTAAATGCGCTACAACACCCGCAGCAGCCTGAAAACAGACAGTCGATTAAGAAACTCATTTTCGTTGATAAGAAAGTGATAAGAAGCAGCTCGCTTACCATGACACATTTTAGTTTAGTTTATTTATCAGAAATTATTGAAAATATAAATAAGATTAGGGATTTGACAAGCTGACAACTGATTGATTGTTATCTGTCAGCCGCTGTCAAAATGTTGCAGGTCAGTGGTGGCGGCACCTGTTGGGTCGAAGGCGAACGAGGTGCGATTATTTTTGGTGTGAATAATTTAAAATACCGCTAAAGTTCTCGATTCAAAAAATTTGGTTTTTGGTACTTACAGCCAGCGTCCGTGCATTTTTGGGCGAAGGTGTCGAGGACTTCTCTGATCTCAGGAGCTTCGAAACAGCACTTTATGAAAGACATTTTCAAAAAAAAAAAATACTGGTTGTATTTCGTTTAATATTCACTGAAAGAACTGCGATAAGTCATCACGGCAAACAGAATTTGTGAACTTTGTGGCGTCGTAATAGCTAACATCAAAGGTAGATAATTAAAGGAGCTGAAGGTTATTGCTGTTTTATGACTGGCGGTTTTCTTTAATTAAATTATACAGTAATGAGTATTGAAACAGAACTTATGTATTTTCAAATGTTAACGATCGTGGTATCTACAGGCTCCTCTTCTATGGTTCTTAGACATTATGGCTGCGTTGTTTTGGTAACGATCGACTTGAGACATCGAGACGCCACAAGGACATGTTTACAGGTCCGGACTGCACAACCATCGACTGTTATCACGGTACTAAACCCTTTTCGCTTCTTTTTATCGTGCGCGCATGCCAAAGCAAGCTCGTGATCGCATGCCCAGAAAGAGTTTTACATGGAAATTACACGCTGGAGGAAACTGCGTGACTCTGAAAAACCGAAAAAGTTCGGGCTATGTTTCGGCTAATTGTGTTAGAGCGTGAGTAGAGTTTCCGGACTACAATGTAGGTTTTCAAAGCCTTTTTTTTAACGAAGTGACCTACTTTTTCTACCATTTGCCTTTGTTGCTTCTGTTTCAAAATTCTAAGGCCTTTGCACACCTATTTTGTGTGGAAACAGGGTTGACCTTTCGAAATCAAATGTGGGCGTTTTGGGTGTACTGATTTATTCACAGAGGACAACAGAATGGGCTTTTATTAATTATTTTTATATCATATTGATTTATCTCATCTCTACAGAACCCACGCTCCAATGTTCCTAAACTCACGCAGGTTGTAAATTTTTTAATTAAACAATTTTATTTCGTCTTTTTTGGTCTTCTGACAAATGCACGTGTTTATTTTCTAACTTAATTAATAGTAAATAACTATATACTTACTGCTCAATCATTATTTATTTATGAGACGGTAGTTATAAACAAAAACTAATAAGTTATTTGATACTAATTAAGTGTAAATTATACAATTCTTCTTTTAGGATGCATAATAGAAAACTTAAAAAGAAAAAAACTTTAATTTTTGTAAAATGTCATTTCGGTGGATGCGCCGGGTTCTTAGGATCGAAATATGAACAGGTATACATTATGAAGTTATAACAAGATTTTTTTGAAATCCCAAATATAAACGGTGTTTCAAAATGATTTTCATCTAGTTAGCTTTGAAATCGCTTCTAGTCCTATCTTTCCCTTAATGAAAATCTGCAGTTATAGGCGACTAGATGAAAATCATTTTGAAACACGGTGTATAAATATATAGTTGCATTATAATGTAACTTAAAGCAGAACTTGGTTTAAAATATTATAGTAACTACGGCAGTGGTATTTTTAGAAGGACTACGACAAAGTATACCCGAGAAAGACGGAAAGATGGTGGAGGAAATATGAAATACCACCGTGGAAGCATTGACTAAATATATATGTATTTAATCAATGGTGGAAGACATTAATGTTGACATTTCGAAGTTTTGTTTTTACACTGGTTAACAATTTTCAACTTTTTGTTTGTCCATAAAATGGTATATGAAAATTATGATAGAACACGTCCAAATAATATACCTAACCTACCCTCCAAGGACTAAGCAGACAACCTGATTAGTTCGATTGTTTTTTCAAGAAAAACACATTTTCAGTTATTTTGTAAGATTTTATGTTATTACATTTTAAAAAATATATTTATATGCTGGATTTTCTTTTATAAGATGTTCCAGAAGTTTATTTTTCTAAAATCCAGCAAAAATCGTTGTGTGCTTATGTAAGTGGTTTTAAGGTTTTTTCGTTATTGGAAGAAAACTCTTGCAGATTTGATAAAAATCAAAGTGGTACTTTACTCCTCTGCTAAGAAAAAAGTTAGTACCGTTGTGGCGGCACAATAACAGGTCGGTAAGCGGAGAAAGATAAGTTCCTCTGTAGTCTAGTGGTAAGGGCACCCGCCCGGCAAGCGATAAACGTGTAGTTCGATTCCCACCGGAGAAGCAACAGTTTTCTTCGCTTACCTTCACCGTCATGTTTCGTAACAAGATTCAGAAAAGGTGGGATTCAAATAATGGTGCTTTTAGCTTTTTTATTTAATAAACTGTTGGTTAAAACATAAGGCCATGGATGCAAAAGTATGTTTTCGACATCTGACATTTTAGTACAAAAAAGTGACTCTTCACGGACGTGATTGGGGACGTAAAACGACCAGATTTGTTGTGGTCACTTAAACAAATGCTTTTTTTTTTAGTTCACTAAGGGTTTTTGTATTATATAATTCTTTAAAAAATGTTTAAAAAAATAAGATTAATATTGTTATTGCTCTATTTAGAGACGATAAAAAATGTTTTATTAAGTGCTCTTGTATCACATTGTGTGAAAAATCGGCGAGCTATAATGCATAAGGCGACCAAATTTCTGAGAGGCTGAAGTGGGACGGAAAAACCCCATTCAAACAAAAAAATCTATTCTTGAAATGTAATATACTTCCAATAAAAATAATATTCAGGGTGTTTCATCTAAAACTCCGAGGGCTATATCTTTAGAACGGATAGAGAAGGTTAATTTAGAATACTGGAATTATGACGCATACCTATATGGTGTCGACGTTGTGATGTGTGTATCATTGTGATTAAATTACAATTACAATGATATAACAACATTTCGATATTTATTTTAATTTTAGTTCAGTTTCAAAATTTAAACCTTGTACCGTTTCGGTAGAAAGAGGGACGATAACGAAAAATTGGGACAAATCGGGTAGCTGTATTTTTCCAAAACTTAACTCTACATACTAATGAATTTTTCTTTTTTAAAGTTGAAAAATAATTTTACATATCCGTGTTTGACGGAACTACCTAACGGTTAGCTTATTTTTCAGAAAAATGGACTAATAACTTTTCACTTTTAAAATTTGAGGGTTTGAATACTTTCGTTGTTGCTCTAATGAGAAAATTCCATTAGTCCTTAGTCAGAGTCGTGAACTGATACGCCACTGCTTATAGAAAGTGTTTCTGGACAGGGATTTTCTTGTTTTACGTTTGCTCAATCAGCTGGGATTTTTTCGTTCAATCAACACAACACAACAAAATGTTTCGCGACTAACCTCACTTTTACTTTTTGTCAGTCGAAGTTTAAATTATTTCAAAAGTTTACATTGTTTATAGTGTTGAGTTGTGTAAAACATTTGTATCGTTGTTATGGTAGTTTTTGATAATTTAGTCACATCGGTAAGGAATTTATATGAAGTGGAAGTGTTTGGCATTTTATAAATCAACATATTCCTTTACAAACAAAAATAAACACTGGAAATACTGCGTCATTTAAACACCCGCACTCTAATAACACAGCATAATAAGACTACTGGAGAGTTTACTGAATAAATGCAAACACCTGTTGTGTATTTGTTTCACCGCAATTTGAAATTAAAAATTCAGTTCTAAAAATTTCCTCTTGTGATTATTTACAATATTGAATTTTGTAAAAAAAAACATTGCATCAGAATGCAGTTTTGTTGATCTTTGATAACGGGTGATCAAAGTTTTCAGATTAGAGTTGGCCATGGAAATATTTCTCATGTCTTTGATTAAACTGTAAATGTCAAAAAATTTTTGAAATACAAATGAGGTTAAGCATGACATTTGCAATTTGATCAAATACATGACAAATATTTCCGTGGCCAACTTTAATCTGAAAATTATTGATCCCCCGTTATTTCCCAATATTAGGAAAAAAAATCGTGTAAAGTTATTTAGGCAGAACTTCCCTTGTCCCGAAAGTACATTCGAATAAATAGGTACAGCTTCTTTTTATTCTTCTTCTTCAAAAAATAATTTTGTTAATTTTATTTATTATAATATCATACCACGTGTTTATTTGATACAGCCCCTGGAATTATTTTATTTGATGAACATATAGTTCTTTGAGCAAATTTGTATGATTTTAAAAGATCACTTATGTGAGCAAATGACATGAGTGTCAATTTTTCAACCTACTAGACAATTTAAAATTTTGAAACAGAATGTTGCAATTTAACTGAGAAACCAACAACCAGTTTTTGTTGAAATTTTGCACACGCTTAAAGATAATCGTGAATATGTTCACAATTTATATATTCATCATCATCAGTTCATCCCTTCCAAACGTTTGATAACGTCATCTCAAAATTTATTATTTTCAATATTTGTGTTATGGTTCATGACGCCAAATTTACACCTTAATATCAATATAATTTAAAGTCGTTTGATTTTTTGTGCGGCATTCTACATAAAAATCTATTTGTGAAACCAAATTTTACAATTTGGCTTAGAATCTACGAAATTATTATTTTTTTTTATTTTGGCAAGCAATTTTGATTTAATGATTGCAGAACAACGATTAAAATTGTATTACATATTCCTTGTAGAAAGTTTGCAGAATCAACTTTTGTAACTATTGTAAGAAACAGGTCTTGTTTGAGTTTAGTTCAGGTTTCGAAATTTGTGTCTTTAAAACATTTTTTTTCAATTTCAAATTTTTGAAAGCAAAATTTTGACTTCGACTTGGAATGTACAAATTTTCGCATTACGCACTTGTACGTATTAATTTTTCTGATGTGAATGTTATATCATTAAAGTTCTACTTATATGTCCGAATTTTACGGATTGCATACGACTTATGTCATTGTGAATGAAACTTTATTTTGTTTTATTGAAATGTATTTGAATCATCCCCAAAATTTGTAATAGTACATTTTATAAAATAATATACTTCTGCAGTTGTGGTTTATGAATCTGTGTTGAGAAAAACATCAAAACTGAATAACAAACATTTTGCATTTTAATTTTAAAATTGTAAAACTGAATATCATCAAATATTGCAAAGGTTTTAAAGTTATCGTAAGCGGGTAAATCGTTAAAATTTATAGCTTTTAGAATTATTTATATTGGATAATTAAAAAAATAATAAATGAAGTAATTTATTTTATTGATCAAATAAGAACGACTCATCTCACTTTCCAGAAAATTTGAGTATAATATAGTACTGTTATTATTAGTATTACATTGCACCTATTTTGATTGATAATAGTATAATAATATGGCTTTGCAAAAATGTTAATGACGTCTTCACAAATTTTGGCAATACGAAAACTCACTTGAAACATAGACATGACATGTCTCTATACCTTTATTTTAACAGTCCACACATAACTTTATTTTAACTTATAGGAGTTATAATAAAAAAATAAAATTCGCAAAATTAAATTTTATAATTGTTCAAAGAAGCTGTATTTGTTCCCCGGTACTTCATATATCTATATAACTTTAGACCATTTTTTTTTGGTTAATTTTGTTTGTTGGTAAATTTATTGCATAGTGGTCGTTTTAGACCATTTTAGAGTAATTTTGACTAACGAATCAAGGTGTTGTATTTTTTATAATATGCAATTATTTATTTATATAGTATAGCTATAATTTTATCGTTAATATTTCATTCATCATTCCTAATTTTGTGAACAAATTCGTTAAAAAAAGTGATAAAAAAATCTGCCCTTGATACTAATTTGTAGCTATCGTGTTCATGACATAAGAAACTATAAATTATAATTATCAGTGGCGGTATGAATAAGCTCCTGTATTTCTCACTCTGCCTACTCCTGTGTAGAAATTATACATACTTACATAGATAAGATAATTTACCTTTGTAATCAATATTTTATCGTTCAGCGTTTAGTGCCTGTTAAACATAGATAAGTGAAAATACTTTCTAGTGTTCTTTCTGTTTTTACCATTAGGCAATGTCTGAGGGCTTTACCGAATCGGAAACCTATATTTGGAACACCGACAATGACTACCTTGGTGAAGGAACTTTCGGAAAAGTCTACCTCGGCGTGCACAAAAGAACCGGCGACAAGGTAGCTGTCAAAACGTTCAGATGTTACCCCCGCGAAGTACCAAAAGAAACCAAGATGTTACAAAGTCTGAAACATCAATACATTATTCAATTTCATGCTATCGAAACCGAAAAAAATACCGAGAATAAGGTGATGGTTATGGAATTGTGCAATGGAGGCAGTTTGATGAATTTTTTAAACGAACCGGAAAATGCTTGTGGGCTACTGGACAGTGAATTTCTGTTGGTTTTTGAACATTTGTCTGGAGGACTGGAATATTTGAAAAAACACAACGTTATTCATCGTGATGTTAAACCAGGTAAGTAATTTAGAAAAACACGCGGTATTAGTGTTGCAATGTTTGTATACAAATATGTTTGTTTTGTATGGCATTGACGTCGTGCGATGTTCGTGTGCATGTAATCACAGTTTATGACAGCGATTCTTTATAATTTTGGCATTGCGTTTATGGTTACAATGGGTGACACTCTGAACTAAAAAAGGACGTCCTCAGTTTAAGAAGTGTACAGACCAACACATGTGCTATGTACGGTATCATTAATTAGTTGGTTGACTGTATTGCATTGAATTGAGTTGTCACTTGTTTTTCAGGTGCAATAAACACGTATACATAAGCACATGCCAAAAATCTCGAGTAACCACTTGTCGTATATGCAAATGGGCAACCTTGATTACCGTTCGAAAAATTGTGCACGCTTATGAATTAAAACTACCTCGCCACTCTTTACTCTGAACCAATGGGGCTAAGAGCAGCAAAAGACGTGTTTTCACTATTCTCTCTAGTTAAATTGCAAAGTGTTGTTATACAATTGAATCGGTCATTTCAAAAACTATATAACTCACTATTGTTTCGAAATTCACTTTTTGCCGGATATCTTTGAGGGTAAACTCATGATTACTGCAAAAACTACATTCATCGCAGTGTACTTGTTGGAAATCTCACCAATGTAAAATTGCAAAAACAACATTAGTCAGTGATTTATGTAGTTTTAACTGTTACTTGTGCGCAAATTTGCTATACTATCGATCATGGGTCACATCAGCCAATAGAAGAAGTCGGAGAGTCACAAGAAAATGTTGAATCAGACGGTGGATACGATTAAAGTCGCAGATAAAACGTAACGTTAAAGAAATGTCATTTGCGTCAAAAATTACAGGAGATTCGTATATTATAAGGTACATCTACGTAGTTTTAGTCAAATTCAGTGTGGTAAAAATTTGGGTTACGGTGGAACTTTAGACGACAGATAAGCTTGAATTGGGCGCCATTTGTTACCCTAAATGTAACCATCATAAGTTGATATACTTAACTCACTTGACATATACCTAGTAAAACCTTTATGAGTTAAGTGGCTTAAGCCAAACCACCCTTATAAGTAAGACTGGCTATTGTAAGCTGCGACAAACAAATTTTACAATACAATATAGTACAGTAACCAGGGTGGTTTGGCTTAAGCCGCTTAAGTCATAAAAGATTTGCTACGTATATGTCAAGTGAGTTAAGCATACTGAAGAGTATTGATAATTTATGACAGGCTGCCGACAATAGACCTTCAACGCAGAATAATCATTTTCCGTATTCTTTGGAAATGTTAGAATTAAACTTAGGTTAATATAATAATATTAATAATAATAAATAATAATGAAAAAGGAGAGATACAAAAAAATATATATGGGCGAAGTCTAGCATAAGCTATTCTACTTAACCCACAAAACAAAAAAAAAACATTTAAATTTTGAATAACTATTTAATAGTAACAAAATAAAAAGAAAAGAAAAAAATCCGATATTCAGAAAGTGATATTTTATCCCACAAGCAATTTTTTTTTTTCATTTCCTTGCGAAAACGTCGAAAGCTTAATTTAGTCACAAGAGTTGTACAATTTTACGCAGTTGGACGACATCGACCTTTGAAAGATTGATGTATGAATGGCATAGATAAATGATACTCATGTCGATTGTTCACATCATAAACATTCCTTCTAAGAGAAGGTGGCAAATGTTTTATATACAAATACGGATAAGTGATACTTATACAGCTTATCTACTTTCAACCAATTCAAACTAAGAATTTTATCCGATACATGGTCATATTTTTTGAGTTTATGTACAAATGAACAGAATGAATTATGAATCTTTTGCAGTGTATTCTTACACTGAACGTCTAAACTATAATAGACTATCAGACAATAATTTAGAATAGATAAAACTAAGCTTTCAATTAACTTTTTTCGCATCTTAAAATTTAAAATACTATAATGTGAACACAATACCTTTAAGGCCAAAAATGATTTTTTTACTATCGAATTTGTGTTCCCTAAACCGTAGGTCTTCGTCAATAACTAGATAATTTTTACACTGTTTACGACTTGTAACCGATCTCCGTTTATTTCTAAATTTAATTTTGATTTTGTGTACTCTCTTTTTTCCTAGTTGACAAACAAATTGCCGAACATTTTTTAACATTGAGTTTTAAGCCCATTTGTTTAGATTGAGACGCTATAATATCAAGATCTTCGTTTATCAGTTGACATGCTGTGTTCACATTAAGATGATCAAAATGTTGATACAATTGGGTGTCATCGGCAAAACCATGTATTTTACAATTTCTTGGAGCATTTAACAATTCAGCAGTGTATATAAGAAAAAGTAAAGGTCCTAAAATGGAACCTCGAGGAACTCCCGATGTTATCTTGCCAATATTTGAAATGCCGTCGTTTATGGTCAAAGCTTGAAAACGATTTAATAAATACGATTGGACGATACTACGACTAACATGGTCAAATCCATAAAATGCTAGTTTGGCACATAACATCAGAGAGTGATCAAGTGTGTCGAAGGCTTTAGAAAAATCCAAAAGAACAAAAACAAGTGATTCCCCTTCATCTATGTGTTTAAAACAACCATCTCAAATACTAAATAAAGCACTAGTTGTACAGTGCCCTTTAGGATAATCTATCAATCAAGAATTTATTCTTTTATCTTTTTCTAAAATCTTTGTTTATTTACATTTATTTAAATATTAAATTATGCAAAACTGGTCGAATTACGCTATGAATTACTGCCGCATCCTCCCTATTCGCCAGATTTAGCACCCTGTGACTTTTATCTGTTTCCAAATCTACAAAAATGGCCTGGACGAAGGCGGTTTACTTCAAACGGCGAAGTAATCAATGAAACAGAGGCTTATTTTGCAGAGTTTGATAAATCATATTTTTTGAATGGGTTAAAAAAGTATAGAGTTGAAAGGAGACTATGTTGAGAAATAAATACACAAAATTAAAAAAAAAAAATTCTTCCTCTTCTTATTTCTTAAACAATCCTCGTATGTGTAGTTCTAACTTCAATATGTTTTTTTAGAATGTGAATAAAATTGGTAGATAAATATACTTTTTTATTGGCAGAAATTGTTTTATTTTTTCCTTTGAAATAATAAACTATTTGCTAAAGAAATATATATGAAGTAATTGTCTAAAATTAGTTATTATCGCACGCAAACAAGGGTATTAGACTTCTCCGCCTCCTCACTGTCGGTTTCCATAATAGTCTCTAAATAATTAGATACAATGAAGTGGACAAAGATCAAAATTTCCTGATTTGATTACAGAAAATTTTGATTTTTTTGGGATATAAACCAAACAGTAGAGTCATTTTTTTATTAACAAATCAACCTGATCCAGTAAGCAATCGAAAAACTGACGAATATTGACAATTTGAAAATGAAACTTCGGAAATTATGAAAATTAACATTGTTTTTATGCTGTTTTTTAATGTTCATGTTCTTCATTGATTTCATATTAATAATTTATTACATACATATTAGTTCTTTTCCACATATGTATCTGACTGCAAAACCGAATGCTCTGAATTCTTAAAAAAAATTTAAAGTTGTAAGCATGGTAAGAGGTTTATCAAAATTTAGGCGTTTATCCTTTCCCAAAAATTTAATGACCTCAAAAAATTTTGCCGAATAAATGTTATTTAAATTTTATAGAATAACATATAGCTGCGTTTGTTGTTTATTAAAAAAAAATGAAGGCACCGGCACTTTTTTACGATATTTCTCTGCCACATTTTTTATACGTATACAAATATAATGCATACATTTTCTTTATTATGTTCAAGTTGTACCAATTCTGTATTGTTACGATGATCGGTGGTTTAAAAACTCAACGATTTATTTTTCAATAGCACTAATACTACTAATTTACACGACTAACTATACAGCGATTAGATCCAGAATAATTCTGACTCGATTTGTATGGAATAGAGTAGACCCAAATTCTCTCAACATCGAGTGGACTCGACTGAACTCGTTCCCGACGGTTGTCTCTATTTAAACAATCATGTGTTCCTTGGATGCATTGATTAAATACAGACGTATGTATTTACTATTTAATCAATGTTGGATGGTTCTCGAAAGCCACTTCGAGGTTTTTCTGGAGCTCGCCATTGAGACTTCCGGCAACCCGCTCCAGGCTTTTCTTTATGCGAACCCCGTCGTCACCGTTGATGAGTCACCCATCATCGCCGTATATGCTAGAAAACCCATAGGCGTCGTACCGGGGCGGCGTATGGGTTTACTTGGTAACAGTATTGTATATAAGTTTCTACATTTATTTCACGAATATTGTCATTCACTGAAAAACGACGTAAAGTCAAAAAAGTTCTACTTAATTTTTTTCTACATTGTTGAAAACGAGGTCCACTTTTTGATTTTTATTTTTTAATGATTCCTGTGAAAATTAAGGGTCCCCAGTCGTTTGTATGTATTTTGAAAGAAATTGAGTTGAAAGTTTAAGATGCTGCGGAAAATAGATTGAGAAACCCACAAGGTTCAGTCTAATACAACTTTTTATTTTCTTTATAATGTTTTAATAAAAATATATAAAATAATCTGTTTATGTTCAAATATAACAGCAAAAAAAATTGGTGGAAAGTTGTTTCGACAGAACTTCCCTCGCACCTAAAATACAATGAAACATATCCAGCATTTTCGAGTTAAATTTTTACTTTAGGTACACAATTTTGTGATAAAATCATCAGCATTTTGCAAGGACACGTAAATCATTGTGGATTAGACTAAAAATAACAGTATTCCCAAAATTTCTGGGAAAATGGAGTGAGTCGTTCCTGATTTAATCAATAGAATAAATTGACTCATTCATTAATTTTTGTGAGCCACCTAGGTATATAAGCAAATTTAAAAAATATGAACGCAGTGATAAATTACAAGTAAAAACTCATCATATTTTGCACATTTTTAGTAGAATTTATTCGGCAAAACTTTGAGATGAC